AGCCGATCCTGCTGGGGAAGGAGGGACTGTCCCTCTCCGAGACTCCGACTCCGATCGAGCAAGGGGACTGTTCAAGAACTTCAACAAGAAGTCAAACCGGTCCTCCATAGGCACGGCATTTCTTTGTCAGGCTGAAGCGCCAAGGCCCGAGGCTGGAGGTTCCGGAGACTTCAGAGTGGTGGGTGGTGCGCAGCGAGGAGCATCATGGCCTCCGCCCTTCTTTCGCAGCCGCATGTTGCTGACGTGGGGACTGCCGCAGGGGATGCTTTCGCGGCGCCGCCCACCCTCGAGGAGGCGCCCCTCGAGGAGCTGCAGGAATTGGAGAGCCTGTGCATGAGGTGTGGAGACAACGTAAGGTTACGCACGGTGGTCTGCAGCGCTGGCAGGGCAGCACCTATCTCAGCAGCCCACGTGTCAGAAACTGGCATTCCAAAGTAACCTGAATTCCGCCTGCGAATGTTTGTTCATTCAAGGCGTCCATTCTGGTCAATAGCTTCTTGGTGTGCCAGTCCTTTTTGGCAACTTCAGGGATCACAGAATCTCCACATCTCATCATGGAAACCTGCAGGCGTCTAATGTTATTTGGGCCGCACTTGGACCGGTGTTGCCGTCCCTGTGTGTGCCCCCTGTTTGCGAGTGGGGGGTGGTGGGGGGGCAGGCGGGCAGTATTTGCAGGGCGGACCTTGGGAGTCCCTCTGTGTACCATTGGTCGGCAGCAGCCTTTGTCATTTTGCGCGCTCTTCGTGCAGGGCACCACGCGGCTGCTGCTGACGCGCATCCCGCACTTCCGTGAGATCGTGCTCATGGCCTTTGAGTGTCCCCACTGCCATGAACGCAACAGTGAGGTGCAGTTTGCGGGGCGCCTGGAGCCGCGCGGCGTGACCCTCACCCTGCGTGTCCCTGAGAATGACCGCGAGGCGCTCAACCGGCAGGTGGTCAAGGCTGACCACGCGACCGTGCGCATCCCAGAGCTCGAGTTTGAAATCCCGGAGCAGGCGCAGCGCGGCACCCTCACCACGGTAAGCGCGCCCCTCTTTGCTCCGCCGGCAGGCCGGGGACGTGCCCAGGCCAGGGGGGTTGCGAACCCAGGGCAGAGGAGCGGGGCTGTGCGACTATCATCACAAATGAGGCACGAGTAAGATGGGGTCGGCTGCTCTTTGTTGCACGGAAGCAGATGTCAGGAGAGCGGACAGTGTGTCGATCATAAAGGACCCTTCGAAGAGCGTCCCTGATTTTGGGGTAGGTGTTGCAACCCCAAAAGCCCGTGTCGGAGCATCTTCGGGAGGCATCTTAGGCCTTGATAGTTGACACCCTATCATGCACGTTCATGAAGATGGGAACTCCTGATCATCGTTGATTCATCTTGCGATGCTTGCTGAGAGTGCCCGCCTCCTCGCTTGCATGCTCTCGCCTGGTGGGGGGCCTCTCCTGTGCGCCTCACCTGCCTGCCTGCCTGCCTGCCAGGTGGAGGGCCTGCTGACCCGCGCTGCAGAGGACCTGCGCGCGCTGCAGGCGGAGCGGCGCGATGCAGACCCCACCATGGCGGCGGCGCTGGACACGTTCCTGGGCCAGCTGGACGCGGCAGCGGAGGGGCGGCGCGCCTTCACGGTGGTGCTGGACGACCCCACCGGCAACAGCTTCATCGAGAACCCGCACGCACCGCGGCCCGACCCGCAGTTGACGCAGCACTACTACACCCGCAGTGTGGAGCAGAACGTGCAGATTGGGGCCATGGCCGAGGAGGCGCTGCCGGACAGGGGGCCAGCGCCGGGGAGCGGGCCGGAGGCTGACGGTACGGCAGGGGAGCGCACGGGCGGGGGGGGGGCTGCAGCGGGTGCCTACGTGCCGGCAGGGACGCGGTATGTGCCGGGGATGGCGCCGCATGGCGCAGTGGGGGCCACCCGGATGCAGGCCGCCATTGCAGAGGGCAGCTCCGAGGCAGTGGCGCAGGCGCTCTTCAAGTACGCGGCGCCAGAGGAGGTGAGCCACACCATGTGGAAGGGGATGACGTGCCTTCTGCGGTCAGTCTGAACTCCTTCCGCCTCCAGCTCGGAACCCCACCCGGCTGCGCGGCCCCGCATGCTTGGCCATGGCACGCCTGGCTTGCGGCGTGCCCGTGGGCTGCTCCTGAGCGTGGCCCGGCCGTTCTGCGCGCGCAGGTGATGGTGTTCCCCGCGACATGCGGTGCGTGCGGCGCAGCCTGCGAGACGCGCATGTACGTGACCACCATCCCGTACTTCAAGGAGGTCATCGTCATGGCCTCCACCTGCGACACGTGCGGCTACAAGAACTCGGAGCTCAAGCCGGGGGGGGCCATCCCCGCGCGCGGCCGCCGCTCCACCCTCCAGGTGCGCCGCTGGCCCACAGCGCAGGCTTGGCAGCAGAGAGGGACGCAGGATATTCTCGCATACGACAACTGGCGCATATTCCTGGTTGCTTTTGTTCTGAACTCGAAATAGGATGCGCCGGGCTAAATCCGGTCAAAACAGGTCCAAAAACCACAATCCAGTCGAGAATGTTTGTATCGATAGTAATCTGTGCGCACATAAGGTCTTTGTTGAGTGGCCTGACGTCATCCGGTTCACTGGTTCCGGTGCGTCATGTGATCCTGTTTTGTCAGCAGTACTCGACTCCTCGGCTGGTCACACTGCACGGTGGGCCGCAAGCCCGCTGTCTTGCAAGGACCATTTGTTTGGCTGTCCCCCGCCTCTCGGCGGAGTATGCCGCCTGTTGCATGTGCCAGCATCCTTGGCGCCGCCAGTGCGCACCCGCTGTCTGCTGCAGCATGCTCCCTCTGCTTGCAGAGCGCTTTGTCCGCATCCGCCTGTCACACTCGGATCCCCCCCCCTGCCCCGCTCGCCTCGTACTGCACACAAGCAGCTCCTCGGACTCCCCCGGTCGGCGACACGCCCCCGCTCGCCCGCCGTCCCCCCCTCCGCTATAGCCACGACACCGGAGAGCGCTTGGCAGAGTTGGCAGCTCCGGAGTCCTTTGGCGTGGTGACAGGCAGGGCCGCTGACGGTGGGGCGGGTGGTGGTGCGTGCGCAGGTGACGTGCGCGGCGGACCTGAGCCGCGACGTGATCAAGAGCGACAGTGCGGCGGTGGCCGTGCCGGAGGCGGAGCTGGAGCTGGCGCCGGGGACGCTGGGGGGCAAGGTGACCACGGTGGAGGGCCTGCTGACCGCCATCAGCGAGAAGCTGGCCTCCCTGCACAGCTTCAGCCTCGGGGACAGCGCGCAGCAGGTCAGCGCGCAGTGCCGGGCCGCGAGAATGCGCCGTCCCAATCTCGTCAGGCTGCAGCGGTCACGCTGGTCGCGGTGGCAGTGCTCGTGAAGGCATCAAGCGGGCAGGCATGCGACGCGGCGCAGCGCAGCATTCTTGGATGGGTGCGTCCTGGCGTGCTGGCGTGCTTGGCGAGTGAACGGGCCTGCGTTCTGACCTGCATGTGTGCGTACGTGCGGCGCAGGTCCAGCGCAGCGCGTGGCAGACATTTGAGGCGCGGCTGCGCGGGCTGCTGGCGCTGGAGCGGCCGTGGACGCTGATCCTGGAGGACCCGCTGGCCAACTCGTTCATCGCGCCCGCCACCGACGACCCCGCCAACGACCCCCAGGTACGCCGCCGCCAGCCCCACCGCACACACAGGGCCGCCTGCCCCAGCAACGTCCCACCCGAGTCGTCCTCTGATCAGGGGACGTGGCGTTGGACGTGTGTTTCAGACGACGATGCAGCGGTTGCTCCATCGTGCGATTCCAGCTCAGATGCTTTCGCCCACCTCGAATGGCGCTGAATCCGTCAGCTGGATCGTATCCTTGAAGCCACCCCGCGGTCGCCCGCGACGTGCCCGATGCTGAGCCGCTCGTTTGTGCGTATGGTGGACGCGGGGCTGCTTGAGTGTGCCTGCCCTGCGCCGCTCGTTGCGTGACTGCGCGGTCGCTGCGTGCAGCTGGTGCACGAGGAGTTCGAGCGCAGCGCGGAGCAGGACGAGGAGCTGGGCCTGACCCAAATGGACACGCGCGCCGCAGACGTCGCGTACGCTGCCCAAGACCAGCAGGCCGCCGCCACGGATGGAACCGCGGAAGCACGCACTCAGAGACACGTCTCGAACGAGCCGAGCCGACCAGAAGGGTGACGACGGCCGGTATCTGTCACCCTCATGCCGGGGTGAGTGAGCACGACAGACCTCCGGCCCTCCGCAGGACAGTTTAGCAACACTTCTTCACCTGGTCCTCGGAGAGTGCATATCGACGGAATGTCTGCAAACCCTGTCTGGGGCATGGCCCACTGCAAGAGCTAGCCTGTTGGACAATCGATTGTAGTCGAGGCTTCCGCTGTTAAGCAGACACAGGTCATTCACTGCCTTTGGGAGGTTCAGGCGGTCCATCGATGAGGTCAACCCATGCATTCCTTAGCCGCCAGCTATGAGGAGCTTGTATCGAATTGGTGACTCGATGAATCGATACTATTGTGCAGCTGATTCAGCCTGCATCGTGCTTTTGCTGAATTAAACTAACAGAATTCTATGCATCTTGCAAGTCACACTTGCACTAGGTTTTCAATGGACATGAAAAGTGAAAAATGAAATATGACATCTGCTTCTTAAAGAGCATGCATGGTTCACAGTTCACAGTCAGGGCTGTCTGCCACTTTCGGGAAATTGAATCGCAATGTTACACCCATTTCGTTGATCGCAGGCTTGTACAACATACTTGTAAAATCTGTGAAATAGGGTTAACATGACTCTCAAATCATCACGTACATGCGGACGGTCCGAACGGTGGACTGACGATCATGTAGTCCATGGTGCATGTTCTCGCAATGGGATCTAGTGAATGTTTCCAGCAATTATCCAGTGCCAATTTCCACCACAAACATATGAACGACCTAATTCGCTACCAGCATATCAGAGCTAGCTGACGCCATGACTGGCCTGGATAGAGCCCCTGATCATTAATGAGTCCTCGTCGAGTCATTAACGGCTCGTTAGCATGCAGTTTAAACTGAAAGCTTTGTCTTGTTTGGCACTTTGGTAACTAGATAGACGTCGTGGAAGAGCCTATGAAAGCCTTTTCAGTCCAAGGCGTCGAAGCCGTGTTCATTTGCGCGAAATTGCGAGTCCTACAGGGTCCCCTGCATCCAACTTCGAACTGTGTGAAGTCAATTGAACAGCGCCTAGTTAGCAGAGTGGCCCACGGTGGCATTTGCTTAAGACTTCAATTTAGGTAAAGTAAGCTTCAGGTAAAGTAAGCCAAGCAGCCTGGGACGGGTGGGGTTAGTTCGGGGGTTAGGGTGGGTTCGGGTGCGGAGCGGGTGATTTTCAGGGTTAGGTTTTTAGTGTTAGGCTGGGAGCTTACTATACCTCGAGCTTAACTTTACCTAAATCGAAGGGACATGCATTTGCTCCCGGCTGACACGAGGCCGATGGGCCTTAGTAACTACTTTTGAAAGATTTTCTTAGATCGTACTAGAATTCTGTTTAATCAGGGTCGCTTGCGTATCCGTCCATGGACGCAATTTGAACGATCACGTGCTTCGACGAAGGAATTCGGGTCCCGGGAATCACGGTGGCCGCCTATACCGCGACACTCAAATTCACCGATCAGACTCACCGATTCACCGATCAAACCGGCGGGCAGCGGGCAGCCGGGGCGGCTCGCCGTCCGCCCGGCCCCCAGCGACCTGCCAGGCAGCTGGCCCGGCAGGGCCCAGGGCCCATACTCGGGCCCGCCCGGGGCCACAACCGTGTACCATGCACGTACAGTTACGGCGCTCATTATGAAAAGTACCGGAAGTAGACTCAGAGACTTCAAAGTTCAAACCTGTTCGCAGGCTGGCACTGGCAGCGGTCAATTTCTTGATCGAAACGATTTCAAATGGAGGCCGCGTCGCTCTGCCAACTACCTAGAAATACAATGGGGAGACAAACTGTGGGTCTGGACTCTGGACAGAGGCGGCGGCTGCTACGAAAAGCTGGAGAAGTCATTGATTGGATGAGAAAGAGCTTCACATCGCAACATGATGAGGGTATTATCGTATGAGGCCGCTGACAATCCATGCTGTCATGCTTGACAGGAGGATCATTGTCCCCCCTGCCGGTCGTTGGGAGAGTTGCGATTGGTAGATGGCTTCCCTGTGTGGTACAAACAGCTCGGTGAGATGGAAGCCTCCGGTTCTTGACGAGATTGGGGTGGTCTGTCTTTCCTCCCACACCAGCGGGGACAGGAGTGATCTCTCCCCAGAGTGCTCATGGGATGCTCATCTGCGCGCCGGCACACCTGACGACCTGCCTTCTGGCGACAGTACCGCGTGCTCCTGCTCCGACAGTGACGAGGGCATGAGCGACGGCAGCCCCAGGGACTGCCCCTTTGAGCTTCTCCCGGTACAGCGCATGCCCGCCCGCTTCCCCTTGCTGGACCTCACTGGTGCAGCGGCGGGGTCGCAGGTGTCCGGTTCAGGAGCACAGGGGGCACACCGGGAAGCAGAATGCACAACTGCAGAGGGCAGACAGGGCAGGGACGGCGGCAGCGGCCAGGCTGGGGAGTGGCTGGGGGGCAGGGAGCAGGAGGGAGAGGCCGCCGGTGCTGCGGCGCCTGATCTGCCCCTCAAGAGCTTGACACTGGGAGATCTTGTGTTTTTGCGCTTGTTGGGGTCAGGAGCGGTGAGCAGACGCCTCCACATTTGCCGAGGGGGCATGTGCCTGCAGGGTGAAAGAGCCTGATCGAGGTCAGGGGAAGGGCTCTTGCAACAAGCTCGACAAATGCACCAAGCATTTGGGGCAATCTGTGATGACCCAGGCGTTGCTTAATACCTTTCTGGCTTTCCCGTGCAGTATGGGAAGGTGTTCCTTGTGGAAGACCGCAGGAGCGGCGCGCGTTACGCCCTCAAACACCTCAGCAAGGCTGTGGCCGTGCAGATTCCCCGCAATCTGATTGGTACGGCCTGACTCAGAGCAGCACATTATCCCCATCAACTCAGTCAGCTCTAACTTGAGTGGAGGGCTTTGTTTTGCGTCTCTCTTTACTTGTGCACCCTGCGTTGTCGTGCGGCACTGTGTCCAGCTGTGGGGAGCAGGGGGAGGGAGAGGCTCTGCTCCTGCGGATGACCTTTTTGAGCCGTGCCCCGCTTGTGCACGGCCGCCGCGGTGAATGGATCTTGGTTGGACTCCCCGTTTAGCAAAATGTAGCCTGAGACTTGGGCTCAACGGAGCATCTTGACAAACGGAGCAGGGTTCCGTTGATGCCACAAGGGAGTCCTGCCGGTCTTCGTCTCTGTTGCTGCGGTCCCCTCCTTGCCCCGTCCTGCTCACCGTGTGGCCCCTGTTCCAGACGAGGTGCGCGCCATGAGTGCCGCCGAGGGCTGCCCCTTCACCGCCCGCTTGCTCAAGACGTTTGTCGACGCCTCTGCGTTCCACCTGCTGCAAGATGCCATCCTGGGGGGCGAGCTGTTCACTAGGGTCGTCTCCAGTGCCGATGTGAGCAGCTCCTTAGCCGCACTTCACGCCACAGGGGGCTCACCGCCGTGCACCTCTGGTGGACTGGCTTCCCTTTTCCAATCATTGCTGGGTAGAGCTGCCCGGGTGGCAGTGCTCGAGCGCTCGGGCTGTCGAAGCCCCCACCCCCTGCCAGTGCTGCCACGTCCGATGCTCAGCTACAGAATGTGACACTAGCTTCACCAAGAAGCCCCTGGCCGCAGCCCACTGGAGGAAATGAAGCAGACAAACGCGTGCATAAAGATGCCGGCCTGACTCCTCCTACCAGGCCCAAGTTGGTTTGGAGGAGAATGCGCAAGGACATACGCTTCACTCCGTGCAGGGGCGATTGGACGAGGGGACGGCGCGCTTCTACCTGGCCTGCGCTGTCACCACCCTGGCCAGCCTGCACACCCGCGGCATCCTGCACCGGTGAGCTGTGCCCCCCGCTGTCCCACCCGACCAGGAGCAGGCTGTGCCTCGCCGCCGGCGGGGCTGCCGCGGCCCCCGCGTGAAACTGCTGGCTGGTGCTGCCGTCGGGGCTGCGTCTGACGTGCGCATGGTGGGCCCCCCGTGCGTGCAGGGATGTGAAGCCGGAGAACCTGCTCCTGGCGGCGGACGGCTACCTCACGCTGGTCGACTTTGGCGCCGCCTGCAAGTACGGCCCCGGCCACGAGGCGCGCACCGTCACCTTCTGCGGCACCGCCGACTACCTGGCGCCCGAGGTACGCCCCCGCCCACAGCCGCACCTCCGCACCTGCCGCTGCTCTCCCCCTGCGCGTGCTCCCTACCCCGCCTGGGCCCCTCTCTGGCCACGTGTGCTGGGCTGGTGCTCATGATCCTGCCAGCCCGCCTCTTGCGGCGCTGCACCGGCTCCCCCCTCTCCCCGGGCTGCCCCGTGCTGGCCGCCGTCCCCTGTGCCGCCCCTCCTTGCTGCGCTGCTGACTGTGTGGGGCCGCTCCTGCAGGTGCTGCTGCAGCGGCTGTACGAGTGGGGCCCCGCTGCGGACTGCTGGGCGCTGGGGGTGACGCTCTTCTTCATGGTCACCGGCCGCCTGCCCTTTGCTGTGCCGGACGCGAGCCGCACTGTGGGCACCGGCAGCCCGCGCCTCGCGGACCCGCGCTTCAACTTCCCCGCCGACCTCCAGCTGTCGGCGGCGGGGCGGGACTTAGTGGGCCGCCTGCTGGAGAGGAACCCCCGAGCACGCCTAGGGGGCGGACCCGCAGGTGAGCGCCACACAATGGCCGGGGCGGGCCTGGGCATCCACGGTCGGAGATGCGCTGCCCCCAAAAGGGCGCGTGGGAGACGGGGCCCGAGGCATTGTCTGGCAGCGTACTGTGGCCGCCGTTTGAAGCTGGCCGAGGAGCTTGTGATGGAGTCGCCGCCAGCCCCGGCAAGCGCAGGGCTGGGATTTGGCGAGGCCGTTCTAGGCACCCCTTTCTTGTTGGTGATTGCGAGTGTGGTTCTGTGGGCGCAGGTGCCATGGAGATCAAGGCACACCCGTGGTTCGCGGGACTGGACTGGGCAGCCCTGGAGCGCAGAGCTGTCCCCGCCCCGCCCAACCCCGGCCGCCGCGCGTCGCTGGACGCCGGCACGCCGGGCAGCGAGGGGGCGACCGCACGGACCGCGACATGCGTGGCCGGGGTGCCGTCCCCCGTGGACCG